GTGTTATCTACGTATCTTGCGTTGGAAACGCACGAAAGAAAACAGCATCTAAATATAAAAGCTCAACTTAAGGAATGTCCAATTTGTCAGAAGAAATTCGATGCGGATTATATAAGAAAACATATCGACACTGTACACAGTAACGAGCGAAATTTTCATTGCGACATATGTGGTGATTCATATAAGAGCAAACCTCAACTTAAGCGCCACATGTTATTACATACGAAGGAACGCAAAGTTCCATGCACTGTATGTGATAAGACATTTGTCGATAAAAGTGAACTTAAGGTACATATGCGAGTTCATACAGGCGAATTACCATATGCCTGCCATTTATGTGATCGTCGATTCAGAATTAAAGTCCGTCTCACATACCATTTGCAAAAACATGCTAATATTAAGCGAATATGTAATGTATGCGGCAAAGAGTTCAAAACTGGCACATCGTTAAGAAAACATTCATTTGAACATACTGGCTTAATGCCATATAAATGCAATATTTGCAATTATGGAAGCGTGAAGCGTGAATAGTAAGTTTTTTAAAAAAGCTTTGAAACCCTATTCGATTAATAAAATAATCTTTTTAACAGTTTTATTACACATATGCAACGCAAGCACGACAAAACTATGACGGCAGATGAATTATATGTAATGTTCAAAGTAAATACTGGCCGAACTCCATACGTTAAGCCCGTCGACGACATAGAAACAGCGAAGAAAGCACATCCGGAATACTTTGAGAGTAATAAGTTATAAAAAATTTTAATTCCTAAAAGTTAAAGTGGATACATTCTTAGGATCGTTTACAGTCAACTGCTTATACATATCAATTAAACGGTTCGTTGTTTAAGTGTTAAACAAGTTATTTCAGCTGCCTGGGTGTTTGTTTTATGTGAGTCTAAAAACGAAACTTCCAATCATTTTCTAGCTTGCAATGCGACCTTGTACAACTGTTCGTGGCAGATTATTGATGTGTAGATGTTCAGGCCCCCCTGAATTTTCATTGAAAATATCGTACCATTGATTTTCACACGATCGTTGAACACAACCAGGTAAGTACCATTGACCTTGTTCGGAGCCTCTTTAATTTCTTCTATAACAGCCAGTTGATCATTGATGAATACTATACCATCGCTTACACTAAGTAACAAAAAAAAAAATTTCTCAGTCCTTGGGATGTAATTGTTATTTCCTAGTCTGTTATGCCTTAAAAGTATGGAAACCACCTAATATTCCTCGGAAACTTTGCTTTTGTGACCAGGACAATGTGATTCATTAAAATATGCTAAAATTATGAGAAAAACGTGTTTGAGTCTTTCACTACAGAGAAAAATCATACAGAACAGCACATATAAATCAAAACTAAATTTTATTAAAACTTCAGAAAACCAAAAACATAAAAGTAAATCAGAAGCGGGTGGTTTTTCGACATTTGCGTTTAAACTGCGAGTCACTTTCTCTAATCAATCCCCAAATGTAATCTCCCATCATGTTCTCATTGGACGCTTCCTCTGACATGTGACTTTAACACTAGGATCCAGCAAATTCCACTGCATCAGTCTGGACGTCAAAAGTTCAGCATCGGACTTGGTTAGACCAAGATCTCTGATCAAATCATTCATGTCCTTTTGGTTGGGATAGTATGGGTTTTTGTTATCAGCTAGTAAATTAAATCCTTCACCTTCATTGTCTTCCACACTCATGGAATCAGGGCTCTCACAGGAAGACACCTGCTCTTTCTCTGGAGGAGTAGGAACGGGGCGGTCAGAGCTGTGTGGAACTGGAGCCATGGATGAAGGAATGTCAGGATACATGATTTGACTTGCTTTTTTGCCAGTCCGACGTTTGGAAGGGTCCACCATGCAGAAAAAGCAGTTGCTTGAATGGTCAGTGGGTTCTCTCCAAACTCTTGGCACAGCAAACTTCATAGCTCTCTTTTCCCCTCTGTACCATCCTGAAAAAAAAAAATTAGAAAAGAAAAGTACTGTCTAATAAAAAAGTTAATAGAAACATTTATTTTACCCATAACAAAGCAATATAGTTTTAAAATGTCTTACCTTCCAAAGTCCTTTTGCAGTTTTCACACGCGAAATGAGGTGCCCAGGATTTGTCTTGATCACCCACAGGCATGCCGAAATA